TTAGCTGAAGCCTTGCTATTTTCAGTTGTCAGAACTGGAAGATTGCTCACCATATTTTACCTATGTAACTGTACCAGGCCTTACATGCATACAGAAGTAGTCCTCGGGTAGATTTTCACCTTACTTAGCAACATAGTACTAAGGTTTGAAAAGGAACTTATGGGAGGTTGCCTGACTCAGTAAAACAATTTTAAATGGTATGGATGCCATTGCTGGATAAGGTGATGGTTCTGAAAGCTTTGTAAGCAAATATATTTGAGAATTGAGGAGATTGCTGAGGTGCCACTAGGTGAAACAAAGGCAAATATCTTTCCAGATGCATGAAAAAGAAGAGCAAGGAGAATACGTATCTGTCAGCTTCTTCAATAGCCAGATGAATGATAATTGATGCTAAAGGCAAAATCTTATTTTGCGGGAATGTAAAAGGTTTTTCTACCAAGTGTCAGTTAAAAGTAACCAAATTAAAGTCTGACTGAAATATATTTCTCACCAGACATATCCTATGCATCTGAAGGATAGAAAGATCTTGGAATTGTAAGGGGGGAAATGAATGAGACAGGAAGTACAGAACTTTCACCCACAACCTTTTTTTCTCCAGAGAAAAGACCTTCCTTTTCTTATATGTTCACTGCAATGCCTGGCATTTAAGTGGGCAATGGCAATGCCTCTTCTCTATAGCAAAGTGTTTAAACCAAAATTCAGCCTAGGTTCTTAGAGGTGAGAGTTTGGTAATTAGCAAATAGACTGCTTTGCAGATGTGGCTAATCGTGTGATCCATGACTAAAGCACCATTTTGAGAGTGTGAATTGATTTCATAGAGCTTCTCTCACTTTCCCTCATAAAAGGCAGAAATGGAAGAGCATCTTAGGGCCTATGACAGCCAGGGAGCAGTCTGTTATTTCATCACCACTGGACAAGTTTGCTCTGAGCCCAGCCTACAAACCTTAAAGTGTCTGATAAGTATACAAGTACTGGCATCTTTCTTTTTTGCTTATCCATACTCAGTAGCCCCCATCAATGAACTGCTCCTACCAAAGGAAACACTCCTGTTGGAATGGAGAAGAGCTAAGGTCTTAGTCTTACACCTCTGCTACAGGTCAGATAAATCACCCTGAATGCAATGACAGTGCAATGACACTGACAGCTGGGAAAAACAATTTATTAAGGACAATTGCACTTGTCCAAAGAACTGTTGTTCAAAATAAAAGATTCAGTGCAGAAAGAAAAGAATCTAAAATACTGCTGAAATAGATCATCCTTTTCAGATCAAATGTTAATATTATTTGTAGCACTGCAGTGCTCTGGCTAAGCACCACTGCTGGCCAGTTACCCACCTCCTCCTCTGCAGCACCCAGAGGGAAGCCGGTTCACCACGAACCACCTTTATATCCATGTCTTACCCATGGGGCAGATGGAGTGCCTGAGGCCTTGATGCTGCTTCTACAGAGTCAATTCTAGTGAGAGAGAGAGAGAGAGAGAGAGAGAGAGAGAGAGAGAGAGAGAGCTGGAGAAGTATCCAACCCTACTGGCTTTAAATTTTCACATTCTGCACCATCTGCAGAACAGGAGGAAAGGCAAATTAAAAATCCTTCATTTCCAATCCTTGACTAGGAATCCGAAGGTCATGCGACAATATACTGTTTATTAAGCTGTGCAGGTGATAATGATGCAGGCTGACTCTTGTGTCCTAATTATTATATTTTATGAGCTTTTTAAAAGAGTGAGAGACAGTAGATTCAATAATCTGAGATAAATGTGTGGTAGCATATACAATGCATTATGTGTTCATTTGTTTCTCTATCAAGCATTTCATAAAGTGATGGCAGTGTGAAAATCTCTGTTGGATTCAAAATGCAGAATTTGGGTACTAGAGGAAATTACATCGTGCTGAAGTTCCAGAGTGCCTTTATGCACTCATGTAGCAGCATGACAAATAGTGTATAACACATGACAACTTGTGTACCAATCTTTACCGAGTAGACTCTGCTCCACAAAATATGCACGATACCAACACTGGAAAAGAAAGGGTGCCATTCTACTGTAAATATCACCTTCTGCTCCTCAGTCCTGTATGGATCAGGAATCTGGTCATAGTATAATTCACTCACTTTTTCTTGCTTCTTGGATAAAATATCTGGATTCCTTTGGATAGTCATCTGATAAATCTATTAATAACTTTTCCATTGCCTTTCTAAAGCAATTTGGCTAATGTGCAGAGCTGAACTTGCAGCCAAGTCTGAAAGGCTTTTTTCCCCATTTAGAAATTGCAACTGTTCCTTATGTGAAGCAATAGTTTTTGCTTAGAAGAGGGTAAGATGGCTCTATTAGAAGAGCTTATGGTTTTCAGATATGTCTCTTGGGTACATTTACACAGAAAATGATCACACTGAGGTACTTATGAAAGGCAAACCCTTTTACCTCTTTTGAAGCTGGCATGGGGCATACTAGGTAGGTTTGGATAACTGTGCCTAGTTTTTGCAGAACCCTCCTCTGTAGGACAGAACAGCATAGAGCATCATTAGAGACATACCTGGCTTGTTGTTATGGCTATACTACCTTTGATCCTCAGCCTCTGAAGATGAAAAACTAGTTGGTGTCAACAACTGCAGTGACTTTTTGTTAATTGCCAGGCTGTATCAAAGAGTGGAATATTTTTGCTGGGATTGCATCAGGACATTGCCTCATGCAAGTGAGATAGAGGCAGGCTGGGCGAATAAGGGACAGCTTTGCCTCAGGCTGCTGTGGCTTTCTGTGACAACATGATGGCAGAAGCAGATTGCTGGGGTAGATGCTGGGGATGAGCCAGTGACATTAAAGCAGCAGGCAAGAGGCTGCATGCAGCATCCAGTTCAAGCTGGCATTTGTGTCTGGTCTGCAAAATGCCCAGCCATGGTACTGTCAGGCGTACTGCATGTACAGCTGGCTGCCGGCGGGGAGAGTCATCTAAGAAACAACTAGGCTGGTGCAGGGATGATTGGAATATTTTCCCATAAATATTCCTTAAGCATAAATGATTGTGATGAAATCATAAAAGTAATTGGCTCTTGTAACTCCTTTTTTGAAAACAAATTAAGCCTAGAAAAGTGTAAAGACCTCCTTTGTTTCCAGAATATTATTGAAAATTAATAGACCATCTGAGCCTGCAGTATCGTAAAGTCTGTATCCATTTTTTTCTCACATACCTGCAGATTCATCTCCAGCAGCTCTCCATCTGTTTGCAGGCTGTTTCCTAAACCAGTGTGATGCCTCAGGTGCAAAAGAGAGAGACAATAATTAACAATGTGGCCTAGAGTACCTTGGGGAACAATTAATTTTAGTGAATGGACAGGGGGAGGAAGAAGAGGGAAGGTAAACTTTGCTCATTTGTCTGCTCATGTGTTCACAGTTGTGCATATTGGATAGATGTACATGCAGATATGCATTTATCTTCCAAGAAGACTATTTTCAGCATTCCAACTTTCACTCTTTTGCAGTGGCTGTTGTGCACAGAAGCTACTTGAAAATGACGGTGCCATCTGTGCTGAGGAGATTAGGGGGTGTCAAGGAATATTCTTTTTCACTTCTCATATTCCTGCTTCTCTCCATCCTGTCCCTGGAAAAATCCCAGCTTTTAACCTGTCAAAACAGTTTTAAAGCTGGTCTCTGATGTATAGAAACCTGTGAGACAGAACCATGACAGTTATGTACTGTCAAAGGAGTATGACTGCATTAAAAAAAATGAAAACCCAACACTGCTGAATAAAAGAACAGGGAAATGTAGGAGGCTGCACTGACATGTGGGGTAGGTCTTTCATATACATTGATCAGGGAATACTAAATTTATATACAGGAAGACCATTTGACTGATTTATATAGAGAGAGATTCTAGAACAATATATACACAGAACTGAAAATTAAAGATCTGCACATCTAGAGAGAGGTTAAAAATGAAACCTGTATGATGAATTAGACTTTCCCCCTCCAAAAGTAGGTACTGAAATTAGAAAACTGAATCCATTTATAAGCTCATAAATGCAAGTGGCCTCATTTCCGATGTGCTGAGCAACTGCTGCATCTGCCTGTTTCTATTGTTAGCATTGGTTCTGTTTCTGAAAAACAGCTGTCAGGAAGGAGATCCTACAGGGTCTCCTCTGATGTGTCTAGCTGGCAAATAGCCAAATATGACTGCAGTACCTACATGTCATGTGAATACAGCTGGAGATATGAGGATGTGGTGCCAAGCTTTCTGACTGGATGTGTAATCTTCAGGTAGGAATCTGGCAGAGATGCTGAGGGAGGAACCTCACCACACTCTAAGTATTTTTCTGCTTTGACCTCTTTTTCATATCCCTCTGTCCCTTCTTCTTCACACACTGGTACCCATGTTGAAGGCAGAGACTATTTGAACCAGAAGAAGAAACTCTTGCAGTGTTGGTTTTGAGAGTGAGATATCACAGATGTGACCACTTACGCCTGGGTGGTGCACAGGCAAATGAGGCTTTTCAAAATTGGTTCACATCTCACAAGTGCATGGTCAGAATTGGAAAACGGTTGTGTTAATAAAGGGCACCTGAAAGCTTAACTGTGAGCCCAGATAAGGTGGTTTAAGAGCCTTTGGTTTTATTCTGCAATTTTGTAAATTGCACAAGTGTTTGTGCTGCAGAGAGAAAACAAAGTGCCCCACTGGAAAGCTAGTAGTGCATTCATCCCCTCAGAGAACAAACTCATTTGCCCTTTTCTTTTTAAGTTGCTTATCCAAACAATGAAATAAATTTTTAAAAAATCTGCTCTGAGCCACTCTCAAATGTTTTCAGGCAGTAAAATAAATGAGAATCGGTAATCTAATACAGAACTGATTTGAGTGTGTTTACATGTGATTAGGAAGCTAAAAGGTTTATTCATGCCTTTGGCTCTGTATATATGTAGAAACAGCTGCATGAGGAGGCTGCTCTTGGCTGACTGCTTTCTGTGCATAAAACCCCCAAAACTTGGGCATTTGTCTTTTTCTCCTCCAAATGTCCAGTCTGTGACAGCAGGGAAGACTGCAGAGTGTCTTTCAGGACGTAAAAGCTGTCATTTGTGCATCCAAGGAAGGATTGTGCTATGAGGGTAGAAGTATCTTTCTGTAAGAAAATTACATACTGGAAAAAAATGTGAACTTCTCTGGAATGGGAGGAGTGGATTGTGTTAATATCTGCAAATCAACTTTGCCTTCTTGATTCACTTCATGCTGCATCAATTATATTGTAACTTTTCAAACTGCTGTCTGTAAGTAGCATTGTTAACTATAGCCAAAGTTTGGGAAAAGATTATTCTTTTAAAATTTGATTGCTTGCTCACTAAGAAAACAACTAGAAGGGAAAACAACAACAACAACAAAAAAGCTTTACCAGATCCTGCAAAGAAAAGGAATTCTGTCTATTTTTCACTTCTAAATACAATAAACCCCCCAGAAATCCCCATTTTTGGCAATATAAAATATTGCGATGTGAAATATAATTTTGGTTATATTATATATGATATTGTATAGAAGTACATATCATACAGAGGTTCTTTATTCTGCCAAAATGCAACATTCCACTCTCATAAAGGCTTACTCAAAACCAATTTTATATGGGGAAATTAATCAAAATCCATAGGTTCCCATGAATTTTCTCATACCACTCAAGCTGCTAACTTCAGTGAAAGCTGTTCAGTTTAAACATTTTCAACCTGTCATAAGTTCCACAGGCTTATTTTGCTTTAAAATGTAGTTTTTCACATCCCGGTTTGTGTTACTCCTTTTTTGCATTATGAATGGAAATGAGTTTATGACCTGAAAAAGAAAGCAAATGGTAGAGTAGGGAGCTCTTCCATAATGTAAAAAGATAAATCCCAGTATGCAAGGTTTGCACAGTTGTAACTTTTGTAATTCAGTGATATTTCTTTCATTTCTTCCAGTTCTTAGTGGAATGACTGCTGAACATAAAGGATGAGATGCTCTTGACTCACACTTTTAAAACACTTGTTAGCAAAATTACTCTTTCTCTTTCATGTCACTAGGGGCTAATGTTCCTGCCTGAAAGAATATCGGGCTTCCATGATCCAAGAAAAGTTTCCTCAGTGCTAAACTTTCACTTGTACGTTTATAGACAGTCTAGGTATTGACCTTCTGATGGTAAAGATAGCATAAAAGGAGCTGTATAAATGACACCAGTGAGTAAAGGATGAGAAGAAAGAAAAAGTAAAGTGGGAGTGACACCCTCAAAAGATTGACTGGGAGAAAATGCTTACTGGGAAAAACTTACCATCATTAGTAATGAATGAAGAATCTAACAGAAGGAAAGCAGGACAAAGGTGGCTGCTGAAAAATTAGCATTTAAATGCAGTGGGGAATAGTATAGTAAGAACTGTCCTAGCACAAATTCTGTGCTGCTCAAAAGCACGGTTGGAGTCTCTGCCCTTACTGACTAGTTATGATCTACCTAAACAAGGTAGATGCCAGGACAAGGTATATTCCTTCTGAGAGGTAAGACTGGGGTGTGTCTGTTTTCAGATGCTCTGCATGTGCCTGAAGACAGAATGGACAAAAAACCAAAAACGACAATAACGACAACAACAACAACAACAAAACGGATGGGAGGAGGAATTCTCATTCTCAAAAATTGTGATATTATTTATTATTTCATGGAAGTTATATGAGCCTAAGGTATTTCAAGGCTGTTTGGTCCTGCAATAATAAGGCATAGAGGAAGGAGCAATTTGGTAGCAGTACTGGAAATGTTCATAAATTATTTTGAACATGCCTTGTTGAAATGTTCTTGGTTTCAGAGAGAACTGGTTCCTTAGCCCTGTGTAATCATAAGCCTGGCCTAGAGCAGTAAGAAGGGAGAGGAGGCAATCAAATGAATTATAAAACAGAATCCAAAGTGCAGTACTAAGGCAGAGGGCTTTTTTTCAGTGTTTGTGTCTTTCCTGCTGCTGGCAGTCCATGATGACATGGTAAAGCTACCATGTACCAAGAAAAAATGAAAGGAAAAGAATATTAATAATATGACAAATTCTTTCTCCTCCATATCTACTGTCAACGATTGACCTCTTCATTTACACCTCTCTGTAGGAATGGCTAGTAGTTACTGTGTTACCCGTCCCTGACCTACCTATGCACAGCCATGCTATGCATATTTTAGCTCATTTAATCTTTTCTTTGAAGTCATTCCCTCCAGCTCTTTGTCATTTGTCTTGCTTTTGTCTGAACTCCTTCCAGTTCATCTTGGCATGAAGGTAGCTAGACGAGGGTGTTTGGAGTGTGCTTTCAAGAATATGCCATTAGAAAGGGCCATCCAACCCTTGGCTGTCTTCCAGGCTGACTTGGTAAATTCGTGGGAACTCTAAGTGGTGCCTCCCTGCTCCTAAACTCTGTATTGCAGACTGCACACTGTGGAGCACCTAAAAAAAGATCTGCAGATTGCACTGGCTGTTAGTTTGGGTTTATTTTTTGTTGTTACTGAATACCACAATCCCAGTTCTGATCCTCCTTGCTGTGTATATTCCTTAGACCTTTTTCAGCATTGCTATCTTTCTTTTTCTCCCACAGAATATCTGTGCTGCAGTGCATGATTCATCGGATACGCTTTTCTGCATTTTTCCAATATGTATATACTTCAGTGTTTCTAGACAGTATCATGAGGCTCTTAGTGCATTGCCTTAGGTATTTGTGTTTCTCCTCTGTGGGCTCCTCCCATGAAGTACGAAATTGATTATTGTCTGGATTTTATGAGGTCAATTCACAGAACAATCCCCACATACAAACAACAGATTTTGGCTCAGTTTGCTGCTCTTTTTCAATTTCCCAAGTCTTTCTCCAGAGCCTTAGTCAAAAAGACAGGCTGTTTGGTTTCTCAAAATATTTCCCTGCTATGCTTCTCATTCGAAACGGAAATTAATTAATATTTCTTTCCAGCACTTGTTGACCTTCAGTGATGCTTGAACAGCTTCTGCAGCCTTGAAAGTGAGACTATAAATAAGATCTCTTTGGTCAGTTTTTAAATTAAGAGATTGCTGTCCCATCCCCAAGGAAAAATGTTGTTATTTGTCGTAAAACTAACACACGGTCCCCTCATTTTCCCAAATGTGAAGACAATGTCGAAGGACAGGGTAGTGGAAATACCATGTCGGCTGTCTGAGTGTGATATTACAGATAGATAAACTATGGTACCATGAGTATGTCCAAACCAATGGGTGTAAGAACATTCTAAAATGTTTCAAATGCCTTATTATAATCATAGTTTTGTACTTATATCCTATTCCATCAACCATGTAGTTCATAGTTGTGCCAAAAAAGCTATCAAGATGATATGCATTATGTATTCATTAATATTTCATGATTCCTAAAGTATATTCATCTGGATGTTTGTTTGCTTGACTCTCTACTGTGCATGCTGCTGATTCCCTGTACAGTAACACTTAGATAACCTTGTATTTTGTTCTGAAGATTCTTGTTACTTTGGAAGGTCTCCCTGCTTACTACTTTCTTGGTTCCTTGTTTCACCATAGCTTTTGAAAAACAACAATTAAATATTTCTCCAAATGGTGAATTTTTAATCTCTCATCATGTCTGCAATCTCAGTCTACTGATTCTGAAATATACACCCTCATGAGTGTAGATCAAGAGCAAAAGCAAGGCATGGTTGTTGGGAAAAACTGGGAGATTTGGCTTCAGGAATGTATTCCTAATCTGAATGAAAACCTTAATGGAGATACTTGTGGAGGGCTCATTTACAAAACATATGTACTCAGAAAGACAAAAAAAGGTGTGCAAAGACAGATTTCTTCGGGTTTTGTTTTTTTTTTAATTTTTTTTGGAACAAAGAAAAAGTTCATGGATTTCATAAAGATACTGTAAATGACCTTATGTACCTAATTGTAACTTCAGTTGACAAAGACCATCTACCTTCAAAAGCATTATTTGTATGCACATTTAAGAACAAATCTATGCTATGTATTCATGGAAACAGATACAGAAAATTATTTTAGATAACAGAATCACAGAATCAATTAGGTTGAAAAAGACCTCTGAGATCATCAAGTCCAACCCTTGACAGAAGACCACCTTGCCAACTAGACCATGGTGTTAAGTGCCACATCCAATCATTTCTGGAACACAAGACAGTCAAAATAATTTCAGAAAGGCCATTAAAGACAGTTATCAGCTGCCCACAGATAGCTCCAAGGGCCCTATGAGGTGCCTGTAGGTCCCCCAGATGTCTGCCCAAGACTGGCCAGTATCAGAGGGTCCAGGACAACTCCCTGGAGCATGAGCAAGGAGCTGGGCCGGGGGCTTCACAGCACCCAAACAACATGAGGTGTCTATGTTTAGACATCTGAATCCCAGGAAGGCATCCAAATGAGCTCTTCTTAAGGAGCTCCTTAGCATTCCCTTACTAAAAATAGAGTTTAGGCATTTGCATGTGAATGCCTAAATGTAAATGTCTCCACACCAAACTGATGTCCTCCCATGCTATCAAGTGTGTAACTCAGTATGAGTTATCAAGACTAGGTAGAAAAGTATATGGTCGCATCCAAAGTAATTCTGTTTCATTTTGTGCCTTTTTTTCCCCTTTGTTCGGATACCTGCACTAGTTGCCTCCCATTAATTAGCTTCCTCATTGTTGCTTTACAGACTTTGAGCAAGCAAAGATAACTAAGCAACTGCCTGATATCATCTCTGGTTCTGCATCCGGTGTTATGCGCAACACTGTGTCACCAACGAGCAGATCTTGTGATACATCTGTCATGTTGGGATATGGCAAAGGCCACTTTTCTGAGGAGCAGGGCACAGAGCTAAGCAGGATGAATAAATACAGATATAGCTCTGCTGCTGTGAGAAAATTAGCTGTTTCACTAGTCCCTGATCACGCTCTGCTGGACCCATATTCTACATATCTATAGCCATACTCTATGCAGCTAGAGAGATGAGTTTTCTTATAATGCTGATAGTGAGGATGATTAATATAATGCCAGTCAGAGACCAGTCTATTTCTGTAATGCCAAGATAATGCCTTTTTAAATAAAATGAGCTCTTGCTTCTGGCTGAATGCTGCTAAGCCTTAAGAAATATGTAAGGTTTT